GGTCGACATTGCTGAAAAGTATTAAAACTAGGATAAACATTCAAGTAACATGAACTATGATTTCAAAACTAAACTAAAGACACTGTTTTATATACCATATTTTAAAAAAAATGTATCCATCTGACCATAGTTGTTTCAATCCACCTTGGGGATTCGCATTGCAACATATCCATAACATTTTTTTTTTCGAAATAACCACGTGTTAACCTTTTCGGTGGTAATATTAAGCCGTATGACATCATGTAATTGCGACTAATTGGAAATCAGTAAAAGAACAATTTGTAGAGATCACAAACAATCAAAGACGACAGAACAACAAAAATAACCAATGGTTGTCGACACCGTAAATCGATAATTTTTAACACATTAACAAATCTTAAGACTACAATTCCATACAGACTTTACACTGTTACACGAATTTTACACAACCGTACATCTATCTATATTACTGAGATGAGGTATTGTAACTATTTATGCTATTTACATTGTTCGGACTGTTGTTCTCATCTTTATTGTCATATTCACGACGTTTCGGGCATTGTACGCCCCGGTCTTCTTCAGGTGATATACGTTGAAATTAAAACCGAACCCCTTATTTAGTCCACTGGGATAGATTGTTCTAGTTCCACGTGCCATTTTATCCACTGGGCCGTAAAAGCGTTATCTGGAGTAATACAGTGACTTGATCCAAAGAGTTGTGAATTCAATGCCTGGCCACAGTAGAGGGGAACAAAAAATAAATAAAAAAAATAAAATAAATAGATAGAGTTACTAAAGGGAAATAACTGAAACTGAGATATCCGGAAGAGGCATGACATGTAGAATTAGAACCGTTTACCGCAGTAGACTATATAAAGCGCTCTTTTTTCTTTATGTGTCACTAGAAATTTCAGCTGTCTGTTCCTGATGTGAAGTATAAATGTCATATTTGTTTACATTTTCTCTAAAACTCTGTCGTTCCTCACATTTTCGGTTTATTGTATTCTCAGCATCCTTCTGTAGAGCCACAGTTTAAGAAAAAGCGCTTTGCTGCAGAAATTTTATTTTCAAAACTGCCTGCTGTAAATATAAGTAATTTCCAAAATCAATATAATTCGTGTCCGAGCTTTCGACTTACGTGAGTCATCATCAGTAATGTGTAGGTAGTGAATTTATGACCGTTATAAACACTAAGGACGTAAGTAAAATAAGTTGAAGAAAATCGTATGTACTACATTTAATGTGTCGTTATATTTTAAATTGGATCGAATGAGTTGGCACCCTCTCGCATCCGATCATCGGGATCGTCATCCTCTATATTTATTCCCTTTCTCCCTTCTGGTGGCGGTGATGGAGATGGCTGTGAATGACCAGCCTACTCCTGAAGAGTCGTGAGCAGGAGTCACAAAGGAATGTGGGTGGTGAACGCGGCTGGGAGTCTGGACTTCCTGACAGCACGTCGTAGATCATCTGCATGTTGACGGTTAGACTCGAAAGTCTCGCTGCCCAACCCACATCCAAAACGAAGGAAATATTTTTTCTGTCACGTGTCACGGTAGCGTGCATCAGTGATGTATGATGGCATTTTTTCTTTCTTTCTTATATGCATTGGAGAATGCTGGGTTGGAGACTATTTTTATTGATGCATATTTGTTTTTTTCCTCTCCTGTAGACGATTTCAATAATTTTTATTCTTTTTTTCTCTTGGATTTACGCATTATTTTGATGTGGTTTGTAAGAATCGGTCTAATGTTGTTATAGTTCTTATGGCGTTTGCTAATGTATCGTCTAAATGCACAAATGGCATGTATGTCGACGGGAAAGAGTGGTTGTTGCGTAATCTATATAAGATATATTTTGTTTATTGTTTACAAAGATACAACCACCAAAAATTACTGGTTTTGAGTTTTTTATATAATAAATGATAAATATTATACGAGTATTTTTCTACGGGTTTCATATGTCGATCTATTATCGTTTTATTGCTATTTAATCGTTTTTTAAATTGTGGAGCATTTGATTTCTGTAAAATATGTTAATGAGATTGTTATTACTCTTATCTTGAGAACTTTAAGCTAAAATTATTATTGCATAAAAAAATCTAATTTGATAATCAACAATATAATAACGGAAGCCGTTGTTAATAAGTGTTTGTTGCATGTTGCTTAATTGCTGAAAAATTACTTTTAGATGAGGAGAGTAATTTATCCTTTGGACTAAATTGTTTATGACTGCAATTATAACGGCAAATTTATAACTTTTCGGACATTCACTTTTAAAGTTTAGAAGATAAGACATAAAAGTAGATGAATAAGTTATGAGTTATTGATTTTATAAAAGTTACAATCAATAAGTGCATCTAGAGAAAAGATTATTTTTATTAATATTTAATTAAAAATTGAACATTAACAAGGAATCTTTTCGAAATTATCTTTAACTTCTATAATGTCATTAACAGTTTTTGTTTGAACAGAAATAGGATCGATGTATCTTATATAAATAGTGGGTTTATTTAATTTATTAAACGTATTGTTTTCAAGATGAGCCATGTAAAAGTTAGAGAATAATTCACCTAAAGGGCTGCTTATGGGGACACCGCCAGCCTCAGTATATATATATATTATATTTGATTTCATTTTTTTTATGGCTTACCAACCTTTTAAGTTTATTTAAAGACGAAACATATTTTGGGATTGTAAGAATTTTTTGGACATAATAATGGTTTTCGATACCAGTCGTACTATTTAGCCCATACATGGGAGGTGAAGAGATGGAGTCATACTTTTCCGGAGAGTATTAATATAACGAATTCGAGTGGAATTTGAACTCGCCTCCCTGATTTCTCATTCCGAACCTTTATCCATTAACTACCCGCACATCCAAGCTTACACCACCTAGTATTCCTGAGCGGTCACCCATCTAGGTACTGACCAAGATCGACATTGCTTAACTTCGGTAAATTACCGCGACTCTGAGAGTAAATATTAGAGAGATGATCATTAAATGTGTTGCGAAAACTACTAAAAGTTTTTTTTTTTAATTAGAAGACTGATTTTTAAAAATTGGATAGTATAATTTTCAATAAATTTTTTTTAAAAGGAAATTAGTTTGTATAAATTTAAATAAAATCCTAAAAAATTCAAAATAAATATAAATTATTATGTTAGAGAGTAAAAATTTTGAATAAAAATAAAATCGGTGTGAAAGTGGCTGATATATTTTTTAGTCTAAAACGACTCTTAAGTCCTGCGAGGAATTTACACTTTCTTCCAAAAATAATACACATAATCACTTCTTTTTTTTTTTTTTTTTTTATTAATGACCAACCACTAAAACATATAAGTGTGTCTCTTGAAATCTTCTTTCAAAAACGTACACACAGAGAATAAAACAATTCTCATCTCACTGAAATTATCTGGGTTCACTTCAAACAGTAGAACGTTGCTACTTTATAAACATCGGTCTATATTTCTGAGATGAGTTTATAAATACTTGTTGCAAGAAAAGAAAAAAAAAATACTTGCATTTAACCTGATAATTTCCATCAAAGGATGAAACGCTCCGGTAAAGAAAAAAAAATCCTTTTGCCTATATTCATATTGTCTATTTACAGATATATGGATTTTTAAATATGTATGCATGTATGTATGTATGTATATGTATGTATATGTATGTTTTTATGTGATTGTATATGCAGTTATATATATATATATATATATATATATATGTGTGTATGTGTGTGTGTGTGTGTGTGTGTGTGTGTGTGTGTGTGTGTGTGTGTGTGTGAAAATACATAGAAAATAGAAAGGAACTGGTTAGGTAAATAATCCAAAGTTCCTTAGTATTTTAGTTATTATTTTTTAAAAATAGTGCTCGATACAAAAGTAGAGCATAAATATAATTATCTATTTAAAAATATGATTCCAACTCGCGACATAAGAGGTCTCATGTTTCAAAACAAGAGCCGAAAACTTCAATATAATTATTTGAATTAAATTGAGTTAAAGTAAGCTCTGTTCCATCTTCAAGCGAAATTTTTTGGGAATTTTTTGGAATATATATATATATATATATAAATGAAAAATGTGTATATATAAATATATATATATATATATATATATATATATATATATATATATATATATAATTATTCATATATTATATGCGCGGTACTTATTAGAAAGTGCTCAATATCAGAGATAGAGCTAACATATTTGGTTGGATGCAAACTGCAAACGTTATATATATATATATATATATATATATATATATATATATAACGTTTGCAGTTTCTTTTCTTTTAAAATATACACTTTTCTCATTGGAACAAATATAAACTCTTCCCTATATATATACATATATATATATATATCGGGAAGAGGTTATAGTTGTTTCAATGAGAGAAAAGTGCATATATTAAAAAGAAGAGAGAAACTGCAAACGTTTTTGGTTGTAATGTGGATTTTTAAAAAAAATATATATTATATTTTATTTTCCATAATTATGCTATACAGGTTTATGGTCTTGCGACCTTTATCAGCCAAAGACTGGATATTTTCACATATTATTAAAATGAATTAATTTTCCTTATGGTTTTCGATGTTAAACATTCCCTTTTTTCTGCGTAGTAGTGACATAAATGTCTTTATATATATATATATATATATATATATATATATATATATATATATATATATATATATATGCGTATACTTTCTAAACATACAAATGAATATATCATTTTATTTCTGTTTCCCTGTCTTGTTTTCACCGTGACTCGATCGTTTTTTTGTTTCTCCGTAATGACCTTTACGTATTTTTTCGTCTTTCTTTTTCTACTGTTGATCGTTTGCTGGAATGCTGATTGCTTCGTGTGGAAAGAACGGAAGGTGCGGATGAATTTTCAGCAATCTGATCTCGTCGTCAACCAGTTCGTATCGAATGTGTCGGTAATTCAATCACTAAGTCTGCTCGATTCGACAAATAGCCCGAGAGTATCACTCGACCACGTGACACTTTTGATGATATCCGGCCACGAATCCACAGATCAATTCGACTCGGGCATACGAGAGAAAAGAATCCAATCACAACTTAATGGTCGTCTGATTCGAGATTGTGAGAAATGTGAATTTATCACTGGTTACTGTTCGAGTCGATCCCATGATCGCTGGATGTCAAATGTTTTCAAATAATGTTTTTTTTTTTTTTTTTTTTTAGTGAGGCATGTATTCACTTTTTATTGTCAAACACTTTTTGGAAAATTGTCGAACACATTTTTTTTTCTTTTTTTTTTTTAAGCATTACGCCCCGAGCAAGGCGTGAAGCCACTAGGGTGCAGGGGATTGCAGAAGATTTGGAGCAAGAGCAGATAGGAATGATAGAAGAAAGGATGAGGAGAGGGATAGTGGATAGATCAAGGTAACTGGAGATGTCGATTGACATTACATTTGAATAGTTGGAGATTATAGCTCTCAGGGAAACAGTAATAGGGAAGGGAGTTCCACAGGCGAGAGGTGCGAGACATGAAGCTATTGGAGTAGAAGAGACGGCTACATTTAAAAGTTTCTACAGTGAAAGGGTGAGAGCGGGATTCCAGCCTCGTAGGGCGCTTGAATTCATGGAGTCTGGGAACCAGTGAAAGCAACTCATCGGAGCAATTACCATGAAAGTATTTGTAAAAAAGACAGAGAGAGGCGACGGCGCGTCTGTGAGAGAGCAACTGTAGACGAGATGCCAGATCAGGGCCAATTATATTACATATCCGTCTCTGGATCTTGTCAAGAACTTCGAGGTAAACAGAAGGTGCCCAAGACCATATATGGCAGCAATACTCCATGAAAGGGCGAATGGTTGATTTGTATATTTGAAGTATCGATTCCGGGGAGAAAAATTTCCTGGCGCGGGAAATGGAATCGGAGAGCCAAGTTCAAATTTCAGGCACGTCTGATGTATTCACTTTTACACAGTAGCCGTTGGGGAAGCCATGTATCTGCGGCTTCTCTCCCCATATATAGGTTGAATAACAAAATAAACTGGGATTTTTATCACTGAATGACTAGTCTAATAGAAAGGATACTCTAAATTCGAACCGTGGAGACGACAACAAGAAACCACCTCACTTGTCTTTTCTAGAAATTCATGACAACTTACAAGTCATAAAAAATGGAGTCTGTAGAGAATCATGATCGCTTACGTCGTGGAAAAAGATGGCATTTAAAAAAAAAATATTCTGTCGTTGATGGGTCAACTGCGAAGTTGTAAAATAGACGCTGCGACCAGAAATATTATTTCACGAATTATTAAATTTTATAAAAGTTAATGGGGGTGGGCAGTTTGCTATGTAAATTTGTTGTAAATGTGTCCCTCGTATGGAAGCCAAAACGCATTTTAGTGCATTCTTTTACACCCTATGACCACTTGTGTCTTAGTGGCTTTACTAACTTGCATGGGATGATACCGATTAAAAAATGTTAGCATTCATTAGACCCCACTCCCTACGGTTGATGTTTTTATCATTTTAGAAAGAAGGCCCTCTTCAAGTCGATCCTGAACATCGTAAAAAATTAATCTGTACAAATTTTATAAAATTGTGCATTGATTTTATTTATAAACTAGCAGTAGAACCCGGCGTTGCCCGGGGATGTAACAGTAAGAGATAGATCAAGTACCGACCATCATAAAGACTGAAAAAATAAAATTGACAAAGATTATTGTTTAAGGTTGAGAGGCACGCATGTCTTAATTAGTTTTTTTTTACGAATTGGTCAAACCCAAACTCAAACAAAAACATTGTTTTCAATCGTTATGAGTCTACCGATTGAATAGAATTTTATTATAAACAATTGTCTTGTAAATGGAATTTTTAAAGCAGTCTGAATGTAAAAATAAAGAAAAAAGTGTGCAAGACAATAAGAAACACTACCTGCCCCCAAAAGTGAAGTTTTGTTGAAATCGGTTGAAAAATGTAGGAAATCCGATCCCATATATAAACGAATACACACACACACACACACACACACACACACACACACACACACACACACACAATCAACCAACCTTGGTTTTATAATAAGTATAACTCGATAACTCAATATTAATAAGTATAACTCGATATGAGTTGTCCCCCTTTCATTAATGCCTCTTAATCGTGTTTTCAAATTGATTTTGTGCAAAAACAATTGTGTTTTTCTAATTTTTGGCGCTGTCAGAACCACCGCAAGGTAATTTTACGTAGTCCTCTGAAGTTTTGTTGAAATCGGTTGAAAAATGTAGGAAATCCGATCCAATATATAAACGTACAGACACACACACGCTCACACAATCTGCGTTTTATAATAAGTAAGATGCCAAGTTTGAAACTGATAACTGCGTAATAGTGTTGTCCCTTTTCCAAATTCATAATAGTACGCAATTACCAATGACGTAAGTAGAGTTTCAAACTTGACAAATGTAAATAAAATCGATGCATGGATAATTCTTTATGGAAGCATAGGTCGATTTATGACTGCTTTTATATTATGCTAAAAATATGCTAAAAATAAACAAACTAATCATTATTTTGATTTTCGCAAATGCAGTGGGTAGAATAAATTCTAATCTACACATATTGTCTAAATTTTTTTCTCTTTTTTTTTTTAGAGGCGAACTAGTCAATTTAAGAAACGTTGTGTATTTTATATATTTTTAATCATTTAATCAGAGCTTCAGTGAGCAGCGTCGAGGTCACTATCATTTACTACCGCCTCCGCTGGGCAGGACACGTTCACAGGATGGATCCGTCCAGGCTCCCCAAGAAAATCCTATATGGCGAGTTGGCCATTGGGACCAGACGACGAGGATCACCCAAAATGCGCTACAAGGACCAACTAAAGCGCAGCCTGACACTTACCAACATCAGCTCGTCCTCGTGGAAAGAAACTGCCAGGGAGCGAACGACGTGGAGGAGATCAATACGCGATGGCATCGCGGACTTCGAGGAAAGGAGGAGGGAGAATGAAGAGGCAAGGCGACCCCGTCCTCACCCTCTCCTCCCCTGGGAGCATTGTCCGCGACTATTCCACCCTCGACTGGGCCTCACAAGTCATGTCAAACATAAACATCAACCGTGAAGATAGGACTTAAAAGATTGAGAGAAGCCGATACTCGGACACGACTGGGAGCCGACGAATCATTTAACTTCAAGCAGGGCAATAAAGACATTAAGAGAAAAGGGTTACTGATTATGAAATGATAAGAAAAAGAAACAAATTATTAAGGAGAAAGAACAATAAAAGAAGACATTAGATAACGATTCATAACGATTGATATTACATTAAAGTTTTTAAAGATCATAGTTGGCTGGTAAGCAAGAAGCCGGAAGAGAGTTCCACAAGCAAGAAGTGTGATAGAAGAAACTGTTAGCATAGAACTTGCGGTTACATCGAGACCACTGCAAAATGATAAGACATTGCACCCAATCTAGACTGCGTTTAAATTAATAAAGTCTAGGTACCATAGAGAGAAGACCATGAGAATAATTACCATGAAAATATTTACAGAAAAGCCACAGGAACGATATGTTATGGCGGCGGGGAAAGTGACTGAAGGTGAGATGTCAGTTCAGGACCAATAACATTGCAGATTCTTCTTTGAGTTTTGGATTGTATATAGTTTAATCCCTTTTTTCTACTAGTGAAATATCAAAATTGAACGTTCATTGTTGGAAAATATTGCAAAGATATGAAAGTGTTGTGGAGTGATTTCACAGTGGAGGCTTGTATTTGTACTAAGTCGGTCCTAAAATAGGTTAGGAACTTGATATAATAGGTAATGACGCAGAGAAATCTAGTTGTGGTCGCTGATACTTTTAGTATCCGACTAACAATCGTCCGGCATCGACTGACTGACCGACCCACTGAGCGACTCCTCGTTACTATTACTACGCCTACTTATTATAGGTGGGAGAGTCTATTAACTATAGAATAGGTGTGTTCCATTATAACAGAAAAGAAATTTAATCTGCGTTGCCAAAATTGCGAATAAAATTCCGGCTTTTTGCTGGTCAGATTTTATTATTCATTAAAAATAGGGAAGGAAACGTTAAAAAGAGAAAATAAAAATGTAATTTTGACCATTCATTGCATTTTGGCCAGTGAAAACGGTGTATTTTGTAAATCTTAAACGGAACAGCGAAGAGAAGGGTGGGTTCTGAAAATAATTTCATGCAGAATCGATAATTGCAAAGAAATATGTCAACCGGAATGAAAGTACATATCGTACACACACATACACATATGGATGTAGGTATTTGAGGGGAGGTGCATATGCATGTGTGTTTATGGGAGTGTTTCAGTATGTGTCTCTACGTTTGTAATAAAGCAAATAATGTGATGAAAATATTGCCACCTGACAATCAGCCCACTTACATCCGTTCAGGCATTTCCTAAACCAATGTATATATATATATATATATATATATATATATATATATATTGCTACATAGTTCAATATATCAATACATATGCATAAATATATGTACACGCATTTATATATACTATATAGACCATTATATATATATATAAATACACACACACACACACATATATACACGTATTTATATATACGGCTACTATATATATATATACATATATATATATATATATATATATATATATATATATATATATATATATATATATATATATATATATATTTATATACTACATAGTACAAGCAATATAATATACATAAATACATATATGCACGTATATATAAAAATTATCATATTGCTACTTTATGCAAGATAAAAATACATACGCATAAATATAAATAAATAAATTTATATATACTATATAGACCATTATATATATATAAATACACACACACACACACACACACATATATATATATATATATACACGTATTTATATATATATATATATATATATATATATATATTTATATATATATATATATATATATATATACTACATAGTAGAAGCAATAAATACATATACATAAATACGTATATGCAAGTATTTATATATAAAATTATCATATTTCTATTTTGTGCAAAATATAAATACATATGCATAAATATATATACACATATTTATACATACGACTATTATATACACACACATACAAACACACACACACATATATATATTACTACATCTTGTAAGGTATAAGTACATATGCATCAATATATATACACGTATTTACATATATGGCTATTATATACATACATACATACATACATACATATATATATATATATATATATATATATATATATATATATATATATATATATATATGTGTGTGTGTATATATTGCGGCATAGCACAAGAGATAAATAGATATACATGAATAGATGCACACTTATTCATATATATCAGTAATACATACGCGCACACACATATACAAGTATGTGCGTGAGAACAGGTTCATTTTATTTCATATATAGCCTAATATCACGCGATCAAAATATGATTCATAAACACAAAACGTATTTATCACTGGAAATGATTTCGAAGAATGGAAGGACTTTAAACACTTTAAACCTGGTTTTGTTAACATCACAAGAAACTTTTTTATTGATATAACTTTATATATTTCTTTTATAAATGTATTACCCTTTTCTTTGACGAGGAAAATAGATATTTAATCTTCTCGTCAAAGTCAAATTGGACATCTTTTTATAAAATCTCCTTTTTTTTTATTTTATAATTCCTTTTACTTCTTTCATTTTATTTTATTTTTTGTACTTTCTACTTTCCGACTTTTCTTTCCTCTTTCTTTTTCTTTTTCTCTTTATTTTCTAGTTTGTCCCTTTTTTTAATCAGCAATCATTTCACCCCAAAACAAGGTGATAAATCCACTAAGACGCAAACGGTTACTAAGAGAGGAGGAAACCGAGTAGACTTTGCTGAGGCGAAAGGTCAATAAAACGAACAAGATTCAAGGAAACAAAAGATGACGACTGAACCTTGTTTTCCTTCCTTTAGCTGCTTTTTCCTTAATTACCCTAACTCTATAAATCACAAGTAAATAAAAAAAAAAATATAAAACAAACAAACAAAAGTAAACAAATAGATAAATAATAAATAAAAATGAAGGCCCTGCCGATTGGTGTTGCAGCCAACCAGTTCATCTGCCAGCCGAACTTGGAACAACCCTGTGTCATCAATGACAGTGAACAGGAAGTGATGGCAAGATCAGTTCAAGTGAAACAGAACGTGAACTGGCCTTTTGACACACGTGGATTTGGCGGCTAATTCAGGTGTGCATCCTCATTCACCTGCATACACACCTGACTGAACACGTGATACGACTCTTCCTTCGACTGGCCCAGGAAGAAAGGGCGGGGATCTGCTCAACAGAAGTGGGAAGAGAATGCTGATGGCGGGATTTCTCAGGAACTAGAACTCATTTCGCTTATTTAAAAAAAATATTGCGGTTACAAACACAAAAATGCCTATTTTCATATACTTCGTACACTTACAGTAAAAAAAAAGAAGATTATATTTGGTACTGTATTTGTATTTTATGTTAGACTCTTTTAAAGGTGATAAAATAGGTAATACGACTGATATTACTATTGGCTTGGTGCATAATTATCAGGTGTTTTTGTAAGCGAGTTATTTGTTAATAAAATTGTTGTTTTGTTTGCTTTTTTTTAATAAAAATATTATTTTATCTTCAGGCTATAAAAATCGTGTCGATAATCATACGCTCTGGAATAATCATTTAAAAATGTTATTGTTGAAATTTTATGTTTCTTTTTTCATAGTAAATGCTATTTAAAAACGCCTGATAATTATACACCAACCCGATATTACTGCAGCGTATATCAATAATAAAAGTAAAGTAATACTGCGAATATTAATATTTCTATTTATTTTGGTAAAGCAAAATGAACGTTTAATGTAAAGTAGTCTTGTCCAGCAGGGTTTGCATTTTCAGAATGCACGGGGACACACAGACAAGCATACGCCCTCCCTCACACATATTTTTTTTACAGTAAGATTTACCCTTTACCCGGGGGCCACTCGAGGTAGAGGTGTAAGTTAGTGGGCAATTAGTGCGTTTAGGAGTGGAATATAACGGTTAACCTTAGCTTTGAACAAGTTAATATTGTAGTGATCGGGGGAACATCCTCTTGGGAGTCGGTTCCACAGAGCAGTTGTTCGCGAGAAGAAGCTGTTAGAGTGGACCTTACCCCTCACCGATGGAATACAGAGAGAATGTGGGTGGTTTGTTACTATGTATGTTCTTGTCGGGAAGGTTTGAATTGGCGGGAGCAGGGAATGTAGTTCACTCGAACATTTCCCATGGAAATAGCCACAGAGATACAGTAATCCTTCGTGTATATATCGCTAGAGAGTGTAAGATGCAGTTAAGAAATCAGAGAGATTCTAGGAGAAAAGTTTATTTTCATGCGTGAAACGCATCTGATTTTAGAGCACAGTAAAATGAGCAAAATGATTTCGAAATCTGCTCATGGCTTTATTTAGACAAATGCTAATAAGCGTCTGTCTATATTTCTGTATTGTAACTGTTTACACTATTTACAATGTCAGGACTGTTGTCCTCATCTTTATTGTCATATTCACGACGTTTCGGGGGTTGTACGAGGTGATATACCTTTTCGAACGAATTTTTAACGGAACATTTATATATATATATATATATATATATATATATATATATATATACATACATACATACATATATATATATATATATATATATATATATATATATATATATATATAGGTAAAAGAATCCGTGGGTAAGTAATCCAAGTAGATCCTATTAATATAAAATATTTAAACTGATTTACAAAAGAGAGATCAATATAATTTTTGTTATAGAGCATATGTGATTTTTTGACAACTGTATTTGTGTTGACAAGTCCAGGGAAATGTTTTTTTCCCCATAGATGAAATGGCCTTCTCTATGGGGTAATTTTTGTGTGTTTCATTGATTGCAATACACACACACACACACACACACACACACACATATATATATATATATATAGATTGATTAAAAAGAACCATTTTTTTAATTTTCGGATAAGGTGTTGAGTATTGTTCAG